TGGTCACAGGTTATTTCAAAAATGACTTAGTAATTTTTTTCAAAAAAATTTTTAAAAAAATTTAGAATTTCACCCAAACTACGGCAAATAGCAATTTGAAGGTATATTAAAGCAATTTATGTTAGTAAAGGCGAAACGATTTTTGTAAAAATTCTTTGAAAGAGTTTTTGTAAGAGTTTTTGAAATTTCTTCAATATATTATCCAGAAATTCATTCAAGTTTTCTTATATTGTGTTTTGAGCGTTAACTGAGTTTTTTTTAACACACATGCTAACGTTTTTTGATCTTTTCCGGAGGCTGATGGACATGTCTTTGAATAGTTTCACAATTTTTTTTTTAAAGCATTTACTGTTTTTGTTAACTGAAAAGTTTCTTGCAAAAGTATGACATATCCTAATTTTTTTTGTAAGATCCAAGAGTTATAGATTTTTTCAAAAATTACTTGAATCTTTTTAGTATAAGCTTAAATAATGGGATATTGGCATATAATAGTATATATTTTGTGTATTTTATTTTAATCCTTGTCATAAGATAATGACAATTTATCTAATATAATTGCCAAACAATACCACAAAAAGGAACAAACCTGGCTTTTATAAAGGCTGCAAGAAATTTTGTTTCCATTTTTCGCAACGGCAAAGGAAAGTTTTATCAAAGATTTCAACAAAGATTTATTTATTTGTTTTCTTTTCATCTTCTATACGCTTGTATTGATCTATTTTGTCTGTTCCATTTTCTTCTTGCTGATTCATTACTTTTTTGGTCGTCTATTTCAGAACTTTGTGCTGTAAAATGCAAACGAGCAATAACATATTTATTGATCTATCAGATGGATGATCTAAAGAAGAACAAGACTGTCCTTGTGATGAGATCTAACATGAGATATTAGGGTAAATTTACCCGATCAAATTTTAATCATTTTCGCTTGATCTTTTGACGCTGGAGAAAAACTAACTTATGGTCGTCTTTGATCGAGAAAACGTGCTTAAAGTCCATATATTAGGAATGTATTTTATTTTAGTACGTAATATTCAGTAAATATCTAGAAATGTTGATTTTTTAACTGGTTTCGCTTTTTTCCGAAAGGGATCAGGTCGCTCTTTCTCAAAATGCATGAATGAAAAAGCTGCTCTCAGGCTTACAATAAGAGTGGTATCTGATGCAAATGCTTCTATAAAGTGCAATGAGAATGTTTCCAGCTATACTGGGAAATGTATTCTGTGGAGTCATCGGCTGAATCATAGCCCACATCAAGAAGTAGAGTGAGAAAGCCTATGACTTAAGTGGCCCTATACATTTTTCGGGCACTTCAAATTGGGAAGTCGTTGAATGAAATTTTAGCGGGATGCTAGGCTATAACTCGACACTATAGAGCAGGAAAGTGACAGCTAATGTAGCTGGAGACGCTCCTATAATCATTTTCTGTTTTGTAAATTCTTCGACACTCCTTTTGTCTATCCTTTGGCAACGTTTTTTTATGGTACTTGTTTTTATGATGAAAAAATTCCACAATCATTTTGTTCTTATAATTTTTGAAAACTTGTACAAGAGACGTTCTTGGCTGACGATTCCTAATTTTGTAAAAGGCAGCATCAATGACTGCAATATTCCAATAAGTAAAAAAGCTAACAGTTAGTTGCCCTTTAACCGTGCATTATGGTTTTAGGTCCCCATTTTCCAGAAGAGGTGTTTTTAGTTCCCTCCCTTTCCAGAAAATGAAAATCTTCTTTTTGACGTTACCACAAGTGTTCAACCTTCATATCGGTTGACACATGGAACTGGATGACCTTTGACTTTGAAAGCCTTTATCCTTGGAAGAAATTCACTTGGATAACCATTCTGTAACGTTACAGTAATCAGAAAATTTTCTGTACATCATTGTATCGCTTGTCTACTCTAGCTAGTCATACAGCATTTTATTATTTTTAACTGTTAGGTTTAATGGTTTTTCCCTACCGTTAACAGTGTCCAAACTCTAATTAGTTTTGTGCTGACTTTGATAATAAGTTTTGTAAGGAAATACAGTATAAATAAACATCTAGATTTACTCTCAACGCAGACACGAGTCGATCAAAACAGTTGCCTGATGGGAATCACATGAAAGAAGGCTACCTCTGGATATATAGGGATATCGCAGAGACAAGCTTTCATTGGTCAATACAGAGAAATCAAAGCTGAATATCGGAGATCGACAGTTACAACCATAGGTCAGTTCACCCGAAGAAATCCAGATCGAGCGTTCATAATCTGATTTATGCGCAGGCATGTTTGCTTGAATCTAAAGATCGATGAGCATGTGATTTTGCTATTAGATTGCAGATTGCCTGACGTATTGTTGCTGTATGGTAAGTTTAGTTATTACCAATCTTTGAAGAATTCAACCACTCCTTTAATATGCTAATTAAGGTTAACAAAAGAACTAATGAAAGACCAACGTAGAAACACCAGATTGAGACACGAATGTTTCATTTTTTTGATGAATAAACATCTTGTCATGTCTTTTTCGTTACCTCGTTGATAAGATCTACTTTTTCGTTACTCTTTGTTTCTTTCTTCTCTATCTTCATTTGCAGGGAAGCGTAGAAATACCAAGCCAAGAAGTAGAAAGCTGTTGCTATAACTGAAAGAATGGTTTTTCGAGAAAATATTCAAGATTGGAGAGAAATATGAAGCCGTTTTTGCAGTTTTGTTTACAAATAGTTTGTATTAAATGTTCATGAAACAAATAGCTGCGTGTAGCTTTTGCATCGGGAAAAGGAGAAAAATTAAGGTCCAGCGTCGCTTCTGGCTTAAGCCCGGTCGCTGCAGCGGCTGGTGGTCAAACTTAAAGAACGAGCTTATAGAAGATGATGAGGAGTCGCGACTAAACTTTCATATGTCCAGAAATAGTTTCAATTTGTTGTCTAATAAACTGCGTCCATACATTGAAACATAACAATCCGACATCGTGTAACAGCGAAGCAAAGCGGAGCAAAAGTCAATCCGAAGTCGTGTAATCACTTGGAAAAGTGAAGTGCAACTGCTTCGGATTGGGGTGGGCAATCAGAAGCGAAAACTAATCCAACGTCGTGTAACTCGGGCCTAATATGATATTGGTTTTTAAAATCATGAAAGGTATCGTTTGAAGTATACTTTTTTCAAGTTGTGTGCAATAAAACAAGAGGATACGAAAAGGGCTCAAGCTTTTTAAACAATGGAATCGCTTGAACGTAAGACAAAATTTCTTTTCGCAAAGAATCGTAGATTCATGGAACAAGTTACCAGAAGTCATTATCAACAGTTCAACAGTATTGAATCTTGGAAAACTTTATGATAGCTTCAATAATGAAGACAAGTATAACTCTTAGGGCCTTAAGGGCTGGAAGCCTTGTACTCTCTTACACGATAAATTATTATTATAATTTATTATTATTAATGTGGCCGTAGGGGGGGGGCAACCACCCCTTCGCCAAGCTTCAAACAGGTTTTGTCAGAAATTTCATGAAGGCAATATTTTGCAAAAACATAAGAGGATCGAGGCATTAAAGATTAAACCTTTGCATTGTGTTGCATTTAACCTTCCAAAGATGATCTGAACATATTTTGACGTATTCTTTTAATTCTTTTAAATGGCACTGCTTTTCCGGCACGTGTAAAAAAAGGCAAGCTAGAATGCAGACAACGAAATGTTTGGTAAATGTAAAACAAAGTGGCTCAGATGTTTTGTTTGTAAGATGTATTTCAATAGTGATTACAGAAAAAACACACAAATACCTCAGTCAAATGATTGCTGCCAATTGCAATCTTCTTTACAAAACTGTTGGACGGCAGAAAGTCCCTTCTCTTTAACAAATCAAAGCAAAGATGGCATGAATTTTTGCAAAATTAATATTCCAAACGAAAGTTCACTGTCAGCGTTAAAAGAATCAGACATATTATTTGCCTCAATAATTGCATCCAAGGTAAAGAGAAATTTGTTCGTGATTCGCACACAACGAAAAACAACCAATCTGTTCTAAGCCCAGAAACTAAACCAAAGTTGACCATCGTCAAATGAAATTGTGAGGCATCTGTCGACAACGGGTGTTTCGAGAGACGGAGCTTATTCAAAATTTGATGAGAAAGAGGAGGACTAATTCAAGACGGGGGCTTTATAGGGGAGGGCTAATCGAATAACAAGAGCAAGCCGGAAAACATATTCAGATGTACGAGGTAGAGGTAAAAATAAGAGAAATTTCTTGAAAAAATGCGATTTTCGATCATAATACGCCACAAAAATGTTACCTTCCAATTCTTGGTGTTGGCATATGTTAAGGCCATTCCTAATTCCTCTTTTCTACAATTTCTTCATGAGGAAACTCAATAGGTTCCCTGATTCCCAAATTCCCGCTACGTCTTTAGCCCGATTCCCAATTTCCAACCATCAACTTCCGAATCGTGGTGTTATCGATTCCCTTTTAACAATTCCTGAATTCCGACTCAAAACCGACGATTCATGGTTTCCGACTCCAAACCGACGATTCCCGGTTCTCTGAAAGACACATGGGGTTCCCTTCTTCATTGCTACCGTGACTTTATCTGAAGATTTGATATTTTTTATGACGTCAAGAAGTGATGCAGTTGTGTTTAGCAGACAAATCTTTATTATGCTTCTCTTAGCCGGGATATTGTGCATCATTCCTCGATAAGATTTTGAATAGTTCCAAGAGCTTTGTAACTTAGCACGAGAATTGTAAACATTTAAGTCCCATCCGTGTTTCATGGTGCATTGGGGATTTTCATCTGTTTTATTTTGCTACTCATCTAAAGGAGACCACTTAGAAACGAGATTCAGCTGGTACGGAGATTCCCGCTTAGAAACGAGATTCAGCTGGTACTTCAGCCGACAACAAATGCTGGCGGTTTTTATGATAAAAAAACCCCTGCATGCTGGTACCGGTATAGTGAGTGGCTAGAGATCAATGATATTGAAATAATTGATCTTTGGCTAGCTAGGAGCCTATAACAAGGAAATTTTTCATAAATTTCCTTACTTTTATCATTGAAGAAGCAAAATTGGGGGTCATCAAGTTCGGATGTGGAAGCTTTCTGTCATCATGGATATCAAAGGCCAGAATTTTCTTCAAAGTTTCTTGGTGTTTAAAAAAAGCAAGGATGAAGATATGAACTTGTTATGATACCGTTGGATGGCGTTTTGCAAAGACACTCTAGAGATTTATATGCTTCATTTATACCTTTTTAAAGTTGGACTCAACAACTGCGGAGATATTCGGAAAGTTGCATTGCAATTTTCCCATTGCGTTTTCAGTGATGCCCTTTTAGAAAAGGTTCATGTTTAGATCGTCGTCCATCGGTTGGACTAGGCCTTGAGGCGATTAGCTGTCGAATGCTGCTCCGCAGAAATTAAATGGGTAAACCTTTTATGTCAAGGCTGAAGGGGATCCTACCAAGCATTATCCTGTTTGTTATTGTTCTTGTCTATTTGACAGGCTACATAACCTTCAGGGCCACTTTGCCCCACCCTTCGCCAAGTATTGCTTTGCCGTCTGATCTTGTTCAACTTCAGAAGAGCCACTTTAAATTTCTGAATGATTGGAGCAGTGAGAACGAGGCTAGGTATAACTGGCAAAGCCTCCTGTTGCCGTGCGAACGTGAGACGGTATGGCAGAAAACAAAAGAATGGTGGAAGAAAAAAAACAGGACTGATCCACTGAAAAGTTTTGTTTCTTTGTGGGAAATTCATCCAGCTGGTCAGTTTAGTAGATTTTTCATACAATCGCAAAATTCACAGGGAGAATTGAAAGGTCGTGGTGGTGATGGATGGCGGGCTCATATTTGCGGGCCAGCCTGTTTAAACCCCTCGATTAGAGATTTTGGCAATGGTACCTATGAGATTAAGTTTCTTGCTCTAGAAAGTGGGAAATATAGAGCAAAGATATATCTTGATTACACTCTATGTGATGGTTTGAAAGATCCTCCAGAAGACTGGTTCATAAAAGGTATCTCTTCGGTGAAATCGTTGGTATTTTGTCAACAGTTAATTTTATGATGGCGTTGAATGTTACTTATCATAGTCAGTTAACATAACCATTTTTCTTTGCTGCATTTGTATTTGTATTTGTATTTGTTACTACCTAGATCAAAGGTAAATTTTAGAACGTCGAGAAACAATGCTTATCGAGCTGTGTTCTGGTCCTTTGTCTCGATGTGGCTACACCTCGTCGAAGGAATCATCCTGCGACTGAAATAACAGAGAGCTATTGACTCCCCTCGGTCTTGGTGAAAGTTTGGTCTTGTCGGGGATTCGGACCCCAGGCCTTTAGATCTGTAGTCCGTGGCCCAAACCACCAAACCATTCTTGCACCTTTATGCCTGCCTACATCTTACATTTATACTGCGAGCAAGAGTTGTCTGAAGAATTGCAACTTAAAGCCATCCTCTTCTACAAACCACGAAGTTTACATCTACAAACCGCTTTACAGCCTCGCGCTATGCAACATAGCGGTTTATATTTATGTGTACTTTGACGCTGTTTCTTATTCATCATCCTGAACTTATTCTTATAAGAAAAAAATGTCAACGTCGAGTACTCCATTTTCTTAAGGCTTTGGGTAATCTAAATTCTCGTTGCTTCTCAAGAGCTTTTTGATTATAATGTCATTGATTTTAATGTTTGGGGTCCTATAATCAATTTTTCTGCTAGAAAACATTCAACAAAACCTATTGGGGAGAGTTTTGCAGCTGCAAAAAGTGAATTGCGTCATTTTTCTATTGCTTTCAAATGCTTGTGAGCATCTATTGCTTCAAGAGATTTGCTTCCATTTTAATGTCGTACTTAGATTAGAGAAGCTCATTTTATTCTCTGTGTCCAAAATTCTGTGCAAACCAAGCAATCATATCGATGGATTTTCACAAAATTTCAGAGTTCTGGGCTTTTCTCAAATTTAAATTTTGTTTTGATTTTTTTTTACCTCGATACTCGTCTCTTATATTCTTGCAGAAAAATTGAGTGTACCTCTCTTACTCATGCCATTAAGATTATTTCTCTTTGAAACTCAGGCAGTTCAGTAAACTCTAACAGAACAAAATGCAAAATATATTTGATTTAATACAAAGTGTGGATTAGGCAGCCAGTTCATTCGACGATGCTTTGATCTTCTTCAAGATACAACAGGACTTTTTTTACTCCCTAGTCTTTTGTATCATATACAACATAACAATGACCCATATCTTCTTCTGTTAGGTAACGCTCAGGGCAAAGACCAAATCCACGGGATTCTTGGTAACGACATTCCGTACGTAAATAAACCGTTATGGAATGGAGAACCTCTGGAGTTCATTGTACCGGAAGCTGAAGATACAGATGAAGGTACCTTGTTCGTAACGATTTGAACTATGAAAAAAGCTTCCTAGTTTTTATATCACACTAACAGGCAATTCATCTAGTTGTTAGAAGCAAGTCTGCTTTTTGACTGCCCGTTGCTTCTAATGAGATGGTAATTAGAATCAAAGGCTATATCCATACCTAGTTTTAAGGTGCAATCATGACCATTCTCAAAAGCCCTCTATTTTCATCACAATGTGCAAAGATAAATTTCCCATATAATTAGGCATGGCGATATCACTAAAGTTCTGCAACCAAAGCAACTACTTTATTGACAAAACCAGAAGACAAGCTCATAAACGCGATTCACAATAACAAAGATGTTGATAATCCATTCTAAGTAAGAGCAAGAGACATGAGCAAAAGGACGGTTTTCTTGTCAGTACATCACAAAATCTTTCAGTACCTGATTCAATCAAATGTGACTCAAAGGCTTACAAATAATGGGGGTCCATTGGTGTGGATCGACTTGAGTAAAGGTTTAAGACGCTCTCTTGCCATGCAAGTGAATGCGAATTAAGTTTTCTATGCAAAAATGTTCACGGTCAGTATCTGAGTACCTGATAAGTTTTTATCAAGTTTCATTTATTTTGAATTTTAATATTTTTTGTTTAAGCGATTAATGAACGATCGTGCTTGTAGCCCTAAGCTAATTTTCAGAGCAATGACTCTTGCAATTGCTGATCCCTATTAATAGACGATTGAGGAATATCGGTTTGACGAATTCTTGCATTCCTGAGAGTTAATATCAAATCAAATCTTGGGTGCGTTTAACCAAAGCTTCACTTGCCAATGCCTAACTCTAAATTGTAGATTGCAAATTAGTTTATTCCTACTCCAATGTGTTGTTTATTCGTGACATCATTTTGTGTCTTCAGCAAAAAAACCCGATCTCACAAGAGCTATTTAGTGCAAAGTATCGTTGTTTCTTTTCCTTTGCTTCTGTTTTATCAAGCAATTATTTGGTTTCTTAGACATTCATCACAACCTTGATGCTGCATGTCAGCTGACGCAGAGCAGAGGATGTCCGTTGATTTGGAATGGACTTGGAAGATGGGTAAATTTCACGTGGACACCATTCTGTAACGGTATGGTTATAAACAGTTGCTCTATCATTCGTTATCCAGGTCCTTCAGTAAGGTTAGCCAGGTAGTGCTGGTTTTCCACTCTGCCTTTTACAGTTTATAAATTGTAATGGTTGTTTCTGATTGTCTTAAGTAGTTTATAGACCCTAAATGATATCCTGATTTTACGACTTCTGTAGGGGTTCGTAATGGCTGGAGTTCGTTATACCGAGAGGGTTCATTCTACAGAGTATTGCAAGGAATAGGACTTTAAGTTCCTTTTAGTGATATACTTCTAATAGGTAGGGTTTGTAAAAGCAGGATTCCATTGTAATATATATTTCATGCAAAAGTGCAGAGCTTTTTTAAATATTTTCTTAGCTGTGCTCTACTTTGTTTATTGCTGAACCAAGTGCTTTGCCTTTCCATGTTTGTTTCTAAATTTCAAGAGGTTTCAGATTACTAGTAAAATATCTATTGAGAAATGGCATCAGGAAATCAGATCGAAGTAAGATTGTTTCAATTCAGTTTAAACCATATTTGTGTGATGAGGCAATATAAATATATTTTAGCCATCTTGTATTTGTACTAAATAATCCTTGCAAATCCCTATCATTATTCTTAAATTGCAATTGGCCTAGATATGTAATATAGTAGAAAATTCCTTATTACTCAAAGGTGGGTGTTAAGGGTGCTTATTAACATCCAGTGAAAAAACAGTTGCAATCAAGCAAAACATTATTATAAATTATGGTCTTGAATGCTAAAGCAGAAAGTTTCAAGAGAATTGATTTACCCCTCTCCCCCCTCCCCATTAGAAGTCATCAATGTCCCGATCTGCCCCACTATAGTAATTTTGTTATTATGCAATCAATATGGTGACTTGATATCTAAACATAGGAACAGCCTATCATCGCCAGCGACACAAGCAACAAGGCTACCTCTGGATTTATGGAGATTCCACAGCCACGCGATTCCATTGGTCAATCCATGGCAAACCTTTGTGTTACACTATTTTCAAAAGATGTTTCTACAGTTATAACTGGGTGTATCAGATCGACAATTACAATCTAACCTTGGATCAGTTCATCCGAAGGAATCCGAATCGAACGTTTCTGAAGCAAGATGACAATAAAGATTTCGATCCAGATCGAATTATTTATGAACTGAAGCAAGTTCTGCTGAACCCAAAAATGGATGAACACAGCGTTGTGCTATTGAATTACGGCTTGCACTTTGCAGAAGCATTGAATTTCTCAAATTTCAGGATGCTTATTGACAAAGTAGCTGCCCATTTAAAAAACAAGGCTGCGTTCAAGCCACTTGTAATCTGGCGAACTACTACTGCATTAAATAGACACAAGTATTCTGTCCCATATCTTCATTCGAGAAGATTCTTGACGCCTCAGGTGAGATGAATTAAAAGGTTTGTGGAACTGGAATTGTGATTCTTTGATAATGTAGAAAAGCTAGCCCTGTCTACACTATGCAAACTACCTCATGCACAGCCCAGGTTAGCCTTATATTTCTACTTGCAGGTTAGCCAGGGTCTTTTGTAGCATATCACTCTCCCTCCAGCCTTGGCTAACTTCCATTGCTCAAAGCACTAGGCTATTAGCCTTCCCTGCTGATATTCTTACGAAAAGGTTATGTAGCTAGGTAATGGGACATTGAGGAGCTATACTTATCGTGTACAGTGCGTTATTTTGACTATTGGTCACAAGAAATTGAAGAAAAGTGGCATTTTTTCTCAGAAAAATATTTGTATAGACTATTACAAAGAATTCTCTAGCAGAACTGCTGATATCATCCTAAATTCTGTTTTGTATTTTTGGATGTCTTGATTCTCTTCAAGAACACATTTTTCTTTGCATATTGGAGAATGCCAATATCACAAATACTACTTATCATAGGAAATTTTCTTCATAACCTTTACGGTAACATGAAATCTATAAATAAATAGCACCCTGATTGTGCAGTATCTCGAACTTTCCTCTAGATGTGACCACTCCTCGTAGTTCCTTTGCCTAAGGTTATAGGGGAATGGTGACTCCCTTTGCTCTGAGTGAACGTTGACTGGAACTAAGGCCTGGCTGGTAAGGAGATGGAGAATATGAGAACAGCCTATGCTATTTTATCACATGTTCTGAGGTTAGAAATTTAGCCTTGACTAAGTCTGGGGTGGTTTTTGTAATATGAATAGGGCCACTTCGCTTAACCGTTGATATTTCTTTTTGCCAAGGATATCTTTTTACCAAGGATAACTTTTGATTTTATTTGTATAAAATGCAAGTCATTGAAAACATTTTCAAGTTTATTGCAGGAATCACTATGAAAATTATCTGCTTTTTAATGCTTAATTTGTGCTTCAAATTGTTTAACCTGTTCTATGAGATTACCGTTTTTGAAATGTTCTTTGCAGCGAGTTGCTCTTTTCAATGCTTATGCAAATTGGGCGATGTGTGCAGCTGGAATCCCTGTTCTAGACGTTTACCCGCTTACTAATTCCTACCCGAATGGCACAGGCAATTCAATTCAACCTTACGATCCAGTTCATTATGAACACAATGTCTTGTATCCTGTTGAGGAATTGCTGGCAAATATATTCACATAGATTTGAAGGTAAAGGCTGGTGAACGTGCAATGGATATAAACGGTATGAAGAGGCTTTAACACCGGAACCATGATAAAGACCCTACTGGTAAAGGCCTAAAAGTTTTTAAAACTTTTTAAGATAACAGGATAAGAGAATTGCTGATATTGAAAGTAAATTCTTCCAAAAACTCTACTAAAAGTGTCAAATGCTAATGATTCTGATTTCTGACACCCCTTGCTTGAAATGCTTTTCTATAGCCTTATGTTCCACAGCAATGAATTTCCGCGCTTTTGTTAAACTAACAGTAAAAAAAGTATCATTACGATGTCCTGTGACTGTAACTTTTTTCAATTCTGGCTGCTTATTATAATGGAATACTTTACTGGTTAGTCATCTCAGTCCCTTGGGTAAGATCTACTTTTTTCGTTGTTTTTTGCTTGCTTCTCTTCAATTTTAATTGACTGAGGAACATAGAAATAAAAAGCCAAGAAATTAAATATCGTTGTTGAAACTGAAAGGAAGTCATTTCATCAAAACTTCTACGTTTATATTTTCGTTATGATAAAGCTGCCTAGACTTTGCATCAAACTATAAATTTTAAATATAAGTTATTAGCTCCACATCAATAATTAAGAATATATCCTTCAGCTGCGTTTGGAATGATAGCCTTAACTTTTTGGAAATATAAACATTTAGAGGCCCTTCTTGAAGTGACCTCTCCAATGACTGAGGCCAAATACAAGCATTATTATTATCATTAGTATTTAGGGACTTCAGAAGCAAGTCAAAGGTTGAGTAGTCTACGGCGTAGGCTAAAGTGGAGAGGCACAGGCGAGAAGGGGAAATTTTTTCAGCTCAGTGAACGGTTTTTCCAAAATTTTCAAACAGTTGGCTTCTTTAGAAGGGGACAATTTTATAAAAGTTGGAGCACGTTGCACGTGCCTCTGGTGCCCTACCTTCCATTTTAAAGATCCTGAAGGTGTCTCAAATTTTATTTGTATCTTATGTGAGATATTCCCCTCCATTCTCAGCTAATTTCTCGGGAATAAAACAAGGCAAGGTTCTTATATTCCCATCTCTAGATTTTCATACCAACGTCAGCCCCTCTGCAGGAAAAAAGGGGGCGATATGGCCCCCAATATTGTCTTAATGGCAAACTCATTCCTTTTTTGTTTGAAAAACATCTTGGCTCTCCAATCAAGAATGCTAACTATGTGCCTTGGCTTTTTGACGAATAAACTAAAATGTCGTAAATTTTAAAGGTTAGAAATGGACTGCAGAGCCTACTTGCTGACACGATTGCAAACGTAAAGAACTGTTTGGAGATTTTGTCAAAGTGGTATTCCAAACAGTTCTTATGAGTTCAGCAATTATCGTTTCCCTAAAGAAGGCAACTTGAGTCGATTATCGATCCCAGGATTATTGGCCCAGAAATGAGGCTTTGTAACCTCAGATTCGTGACCATGATACCTTGTCCAAAAACAAGTTGGCTATCTACGACGCATCTAAATCAGATTGAAACATTTAACGAGGTGAAAATATTAACTAGTCCCTTGCCTTGGAAAAAGAACTAAAAGAGTTTGAAACAGAAAAGTCATCAGTATTTCGATACAGGAATCTGGAATATAAGAGGATACAAAGGAAAAAAGAAGCTTCTTTATAACTCTTGACACGGCAAGCAACGCAAAAAAATAGAAATATCTAACTTAAATAAGTTTACTTAAATAATATTCTTTTTAAAGAAAGCAATACCTCATTTTATCTTGTATTCCCGCCCAATTCAAATTTGAATACTTGTACTGTGCGATTCAAATATTAATCCCGCTTCTCTGATAATCCTGCATTAAATTGCGATGTTTAATCAATAAAACGGAAGCGGGAATACAAGAGAGAATACTGTATGTATTTGTTTCAATTAAAACCATAGAGCCACAATACTATTCCCCTGACTTTCATAACACATCTAGGTAATAGATTCTACTGACAAATGATTTCAATAACCTAAACGAAGTTGCATGTAATTTACGAAACCAATCGTTTATACAAATAGACCAAACACTGTTCCTTACCGGCCAGATACAATATCCTATAGATCATGGTCGTGTATGGATGTAATGAATGGTGAAATTCTTTACCATAAGATTTCCGGTGACAGAAAATTATAAAGGATTCAATATGAGTCGACAGAAAACAAAAATTAAACAAGTTGATGTTACATTCTCGTGTAGACTATGCACTCCATATATTCTTGTAAACATCGCGTTGATCTTTATTTACGTTGTTTTTGTTACTAGTTGATGACTACTACTAGATTATACTAGTTGTATAATCCAAAATAAAATAAAGTGAACATTTTTATTTCAATTTCAGATATTGTTTTCTTTTATAATGACAATTTTAGATGATTATAAAAAACGCGATCTACTTTGTCTGTGAAGGACTGTTAATTATGGTTGGTTTATTAGTGTAGTGCGTCATCGAAGGGAACATCTCATGCCTTCTCCGTTGAATCTTGGGTAAGTTCTACATTTTCGTTGTTGTTTGGTGGCTTCTTTTCAAACTTTATTGGCTGAGGAACGTAGGAATACCAAGCCAGAAAATTCAATATCGTTGCTGAAACTGAGAGGAAGTCATTAAATCAAGTTTTTCTAAGTTTATGTTTCTCTTTACTATTGGTATACAGGGACTGCGCCTCCAATTTACAATTTGATTACAAATGCTTATGATTTGAAAGCTGTTCGTCAATTCCTAAGCAAATATTTGAGAGCAGCGTTTTGAGTGACAGTTCCTTTGCCTGCCCTTCGCCTTGCCACAGCCGTAGCTTCAAAGTGTTGAGAAATAGCAACGTTTAGAAGACCCAAAGAAAAAACTTCTCAAATGATTGAGGCCTCCCTCTCTAGATATAAGTGTTATCTTACTTTTAGTATTAAGAGACTTCAGAAATCATTCAAAATTGGAAAGGCAAAGGCGGGAAGCGACACTTTTCTCAGCAAATGGAGCACTTTCTCTATAAGTTCGCTCGTGGGGGTGCCTTTAAGACAAGATACATCTTCATCAAAGCATGGTACGTTGAGCGTGCTTCTAGTGCCCTCCCTTCCATATCAACGTTCCTGAAAGAATATAAAACATGTTATATTGTTCATGTAATTTTCTCCCTAAAATCTGCTCGCTTTAACAAGGCAAGGTATTATTCCATTTTCATGCATTCATATCAATGTCTTTGTGCAGGCCAAAAAGAAGGGAGGTAAACAAGCCCCCAATATTTTGTTGATAGCAGTTTCTCTTTTGTTTGAAGGTATCTTGATTGTTAAATCTGAAACGTTGTGATGGTTACATAATAAGAAAACAAAACTTTATATAAAAAGCAGACCAAAAACCTTACTTGCTGCCACAAGTGCAAATATAAAGAAACTCTTGGAGATTTTGTCAACGTCGTATTCCAAACAGTTCCCTTGATTTCCACAATCATCCTTTCCCCAAAGAAGGCAACTTGAGTCGATTATCGATCCGAGGATAATTGGACCAGGAATAAAGCTTAGTAGCCTCGCATTCATGGTCATGATTCCTTGTCCAAATGCACGCTGGTTATCTGCCACGCATCTAAAAAGAATTTGAATAATTCTTTTTGAATATTCCAACTAAATTGTTAACTGTCTTTAGAGTTAAAGATATCGCTATTTATCTCAAACCCCTCCGCTCATTCTCTGTTGAGAGGTAACACTTAAAAATTTAGTCTCGAACAAGAAATACAAAATGGCATGGAAAACAATGCATGAGTTGCTAAACCAAAATTGAAATTGAAAACTGAGTGGAAACAAAATACTGAAAATGCGATTTTAAGTTATTATTTTCATCTCATTTTTAAAGCTCTCACTTAAGATCATCACTTTCATTACATGTTTAGGGTCTGCTCGAGTTTCTGTTCTACTTCTAAGAGGCAAGCCTTGCACTGAATCATTTTCTTACACTTGCATGCAGAAAATTACCTGAAAGTATCTAAGAATTGCGATGAATCTTTAATCTTTCTTGGCTTAAAACAGGAGTCGTATCACTTTCCCTCACATCATTTTAATTTCCTTTCTCTATCTCGCGTTAAGTGACTGAAACATCTTACTGACACCGTATCATCCTAATAAGGACTGTTTCATTTTAATTAAGTAGGAAAACAAGAACGTGCATGCTGCTGGGATTGAATCTTTATGCTAAGAGTTCGTTGTTAGAGGGCTGGTTACTAAGCCCTTGCCATGGAGTTAAAAGTATTTATACAGAGAGTTCACATGTTGCTAATTCTTGGCACTTACGTTTCTTGATTAAGAAGAACAATCTTAGGATTTGCATTTTACTGTCTGCCAACGATAAGGTTACGACGACTTACAACGGTTTTGCTGCCTCGATAATCGTAACAGAAAAGCAGAAAATAACTTCTTTTGGATCCTTTGCAATCGATAATCAAAAATAAAACAATTAAGGTCATATAAACGTTAAAGAAATCGTGCATGAATAATTTATAAACTTCTTTGAAAGGAACATTTGATTTGAAAAGAATTACGGAATTGTTGTGTGTTCAATTATAACAATTTTAGCCTTAAAACTATTTTTCTGCTGAAATGTAAAATACATGAATGCTTGTAGCTAGCTCATCAAAGGTTTGATCTACACATATGAAGTGATCACGCATCAAATAGGTAAGAAGCACAAGAGGGTGAGTGGATGCGAGAATGACTCAAGGGTTAGGTTCCTTGACGACAGATCCAAAGTTCTGGGGTTCCATTCCCTGACTTGACCAAACTTCACCCCACATTGAAGGTAGTCACAAGATCTCGGCGATTTCAGACATAGCAAGAACGAAGTATGGTCACTTTGAGAGAAAAGACCAAGACATTGCTCGATAAGCACATTTTTCAGTGAGCAAAAGGTACTAGGTAGAAAAGCAAATACAAATAAAAAACACTTCACTTAAAAAGACTCCGTCTAGGAATATCAACATCTTTAACTGAGTGCTCCTTCACATATTTTGGACCTGAATTTCAAAATGCAAAGCTTATAAATGCCAATATATAAATAAATAACTTAATCCTCGATGTATTTACCTCATCGTTAGCATTCTCTGCGGAATGGCACCAGTGAATGATATCATCAAGGTTATTGCACTCAGAGCTAAGAAAAGAACTAGGTTTTTACACTGTCTGTCACAACGGCCAGCTGAAACGGACTCAAAGTTATTGAGAACTGCTGTTGAACTTGCGTTTGTCGACGTAGAAATAGTTTGGTTGCCAAGTCGAACACATGAGCAGTTGGTAGCGCTCTATGAAGTAGGAAGAAAGAAATGCACATATAAATGCAACTTTGAATTGGGTCTGATCAGAATTTCGATAACTCTACCAACTTTACATAATGCAAAAAAATCAATTATGTATATGCAAACTTTTTATTTGCTTTTTTAAGCCTTTCGTATCCTAGTTGTTCAGTTATTCCCTCCATGAGGATTCACTCCTCTAAATTCCAGCCATCCTGCCAAAACCCTTGACAGAAACGGCGATATGTTTGGAAACGAGGCTGTGTGTAAAATAATACCGCGGGAAAGTCATTCTACTTCTTAAACTGTCCTGTTTTACACTGCTTGAAAGAAGAAAACAAGTTGATGAAACTTAGGTGCAAACGAGAGAGCAGAAGTGTGACGCTGAAAGTCCGACAATGGTAAGTTTATAATTACATGTTGAAGAAATTATTATTGATTGTTAGAAACTTGTTCGATACTCGGTTAAACTATGAATGTCCTTTGTGGCCAAAGTTTCCTCTGGGCTAGGCAGCTTTGCTCACCTTATAAATTCAGCAAGTATTGGTCTCAAAACATCGAGGATGTCTAAAGAAATCGGTAAGGCAATTTGTTTCCTCTTTATATATTTTTACTGCTTTTTCCATTTAAAAAATATGGGTTTTTTACTCGAGTGAAGGGTCAAGGCCAAATGCGGCCAAATTCAAATGATATTCATGGCACGTTATTTTTGTGTTGATATGCATCAAAACTGCTGCCTGGTAAGCTGGCATTATTTATATTATTGTATTAATTACATGATTGTACCAACAAGCTCTAGCGTGTATGAATCAAGCTTCAGAAATGAGGAGATGGCAGTAGAGTGAGATTCAAAAATTTTAGTTATCTTTGTATTTCAGAACAATCCTTACTCCTTTGACTTTGGAACTGCAGCCAGCAAAACATGGCGAGAAATATGTATAACCATCTTTTCCACATACTGGCTCATATGAACGTTGTGAACACCCACATAAAGAATTGCACTTTGCTTTGATTTTTCCAATTTCTTTGCTAAAATGTGTTTATAAGCAAAAATCACATATTGAAAGTTGAAACATGATAACAGTTAAATAATTTGACAAACTGAGAACCATATAATAAATCTCTTCTGCTTGATCTTTATCAATTGCTTTTTTAGCACTCAGATCTGTAACTTTCTGTCTGGCCTTGTTAATCTGCCTTGAAAAACATTCAAAGGACTTTGTGTGATCAATGGAATATTACTTTTGGGGAATTGATATTACTTGAAATAAAGTTCATTGTCATTCAATGCTTTCTCTTTTGCTTTGACTTTAGAGAAGGACATGTTGGGCTGTATCAGTTTTTTGTTAAGATCCATGCACTAACCTCTGATAAGGAATTGTTACCCCAACAACATTTGTTGAGTTGCAACCAGGCAGCAACCAGATAGATGAAAATATTGTCAAAGCCACACCCATTATGATAAGATATTGTGCTGCCCTCTTAACTGAGTCTGCAATTGGTAGCTTTTTCATTATAAGTGATCCAATACCAACTCCAACTGTAAATATAATTTTCTTGTTTACAAATAGTCTTGTAAGAAATTGTTTAGTGATATGAAATGAAAAATAGCTTTCAAAGAGGCAAGCAAGTTTTGTAGTATACTTAAATTTTTTATCTTATACTTTTCAGGGTACAAACATCAGAATAGTGATAGAAATTCTAAGCAATGCCAATACAATTAGATGTCTGGGCCTTCCCAATTATCCAAAACATGTGTCCTAAGATCCTTCATTAATTTACTGACGGAACCTGTGATTTTGCTATTGGTGAGATTTACCAGAAAACTAAGGTTGTACCAAAAAGCTGTTATGGCCAAAAACTACATACAGAGTTTGGTCGTGTTCCATCTAGCAGTTTTGAAATTGATCAAAACAAAAATTAAAGATGTTTTTGTGTAAAAATGAAGAGGTTTGCTTGGAATCCATTGGCTGCATTTTCTAAAAGCAAACTGCAATGATTGGGCCACCTTAACAGTTACAAGCTTGGTTTTCTGATTGGCCTATATTGACTCAAAACTGGGTTTATATATTTCCTAGCTTTGAATTTTGGATCATTATGCTGATGTTTAACATCCTGAAGTGTGTCAGGAAAAGGCTAAAGCATTTTTCAAAATGTTTCCTTTTTGATGCCACTTTCAAGTAAAATGTTTTGCTAAAGACAAATTTGTATTATTTCTGTTGCTGTGCAACCTCTGCTACTTGAAGGTAGATTTGACCACAAAAAAGCAAATATTACTTTTATATTAGGAAAGGGCTTGCACATTGAATTTTGATCATTAATAACAATTTATGGTTGTTCACAAAAAAATGGCAAATAAATTCACTGAATTAAAACATTGAAAATTTACGGGTATTTCCTGGAATGAATACAGCTGCTGACAAAAGTGCTATTTTTGACAAACTGCCACCAAATTTGAGAACGATGATTTTTGTGTAGAATCCTCTCAACGCAGCAGCAAATATAAGCTCTATTGTTAAGCCAAGGCAAGAAAAGACATATGTCTTGTTTTTGAGAAGATCGATCAAGCTCCTCAATAGACCTACCAGTCCTAAAAGAAGAGGTCGGTATTAAATAGTTCTTCTGAAGATTGCAGTGAGTTAGAATTAAGCAGTTCATTTCAAACATGCATGTTTCAATGAGGCTTTATAAGGGGGATGAAATTATTCTATATTTCATGATTTCATATTTCAAAATATCTTGCAATTATTTCATATTTCAAAATTACTAAAGCTAAGTATTTTGAAATTTTAAAATGTTCAGTTCTGCCTTCAGGTTTCAGTACAAACTAGACCGACTTGCATACAAAACTGACCGATTGTATGTATAATGTATAAATAAATGTATAAAGAATTTGTTCAGAAAGAAGCCAAAGGGCCCGTACTTGGGTAAAAGTAGGGAATTCATTCTCTTTGGAACTGTTGTGATCATTTGGCACTTTTGTGGGGAATCTAAGGACACCGGACGAAATATTTATCATTGTTTTGTTCAACCTATTCTTTGTGAACAACTAAACAAATTCAAAATATATAAGGAACAAAATTAATATTCCACGTTCACGTTACAAGCTCTTTCTGATAGTATCATCAGGAAAGTTTGATAGTCGAAATATTTCTGACCTTGCGTTTTTTATGCTTCCAGAAACGCAACTTTCCGTCAATTACAAAAATGTTTCCAAGACTTAAAATGATCAGTGGCCTTTACTTTTATGATTTAAACTTTCGCCGAGTTTGAAAAAACAGTTGGAGTGGGCCAAATTCTCTTTACGGTTGTTTGTGGCTTTTCATAATATTTCCATATAGTTTGATCTTTTTAGGTCAAATAACATAATTTGTAATCACTTTTAGCATTTTTTATTGGCACCATAAGTATGTATAGCACAATTCACCTACTGAAAGATAGGGTCAGAAACAACATATACAAGATATAGTTTACTAAATGTTTGCTTTTTTCAAAGCCATACTAATAACTTTGCGGGGAACATGTTAGCCCCAGAAAGAATGAACAATATCTTTTTTAACATCATTATCAGCAAATCAACTCTGCAACTTAAATTGTTTACAAAACTGTGGTTTAGTGGTCTAGAAAGAAATCATAGTATGTATCTGTGGAACAATCAATGTAGATAAAAACATTTTTATGATGCTATTTGATGTTGGTATTTTTCCAAACAGTGAAGTATGAAAAGCCTTTTAAACCCCTATAAAGGTTGCAATATTTAAAAGAAAAACCCAGGCATAATATAGTATCTTAACAGCTCTACAGATCAATACTCACTTGAGTCCATTCTGTTATTAAATAGATAATTCTCACACAACATTTAAAGTGGTATTCAGTCATTTTGTCATTTCATATTTCATAATGGGAACCAAAGTTATTTCATATTTCAAGACTAAAAACCTAAATACTTATATTTTCATCCCGAAAATCTCAATTCTTTTATATTTCAAATATCCCATACAGGGCCTCTTTGGCCAAGAATTGTTAAAGAAATGCTTTTGAATAGATTTAAAAACTGTAGTTTAACGAACATTACTGTTTATTGGTCTGTCATGAAGGCCCCATAAAGTGTAGCCTGCGCGCAGACTCGGCTGGTTTTCCCAGAGATACTTTTCTTGACTGGGAGAGAAACTCTAAATTTTTCATTCAACTAAATTCATCTCTGTGAAAACCAGTCGAGTCTGCGCGCAGGCTTCATAAAGCCGGGCTATAGACAGAGCTTTGCACGTTTTTGGTGCATAGAACAGGACGGTTCTAAGTTGCTAGACCGAGTTCACGCTCAATGCGATCATCAGTAATCATTTCTTAAGCTGTGGTGTGTTAATTCACTAGATTCTATTAGACATTCATGTTTCAGCAAAGCTACTGGATGGAAATAAATTTGTAGTAAAGAACAGTAGTTTAGTTACAAATGTCTCACTAAAGTATTAAAAGCACCCTGTGACTTTTCCTGAACTCTTATTTTGGCCTCTTTTATCGCACCACAATCCTGTGTAACATTTGGGAGTGCTCTTTCGAAAACTCGAACAACCTGTGGATGTTTTCGACTATGAAGAAAGAAGCTCGCCGGGTTTCTTACACAGGAGTGTTTTACCTGACAGCTCTAGAAACTTTGGTTGTGATGACAGAACTTCATTTTGACTTCCTTCTAGCATTGATGAATCATTTTGGCTCTCGATCTACAAACTACATACAGACACCTTCTCCATCTTTCCCTGAACACTACATGAAAACATCTTCTTCATCTTCCCCCTTTGAAATCAAGTATTTAGATTCAGAGCTTTCATAAAACCTTGCAATGTTTTGGCTAATAATACCATCGGTATTTTCTTACCTTTGCCAATTTCATTGTTTGCTGGTGGAAGTTTTCCCGCATCCATAGCTTCAAGTCGTCTTTTGCGATATTTTGGCATCTCGCGTGGGAAGCATATCAGAAAGACGCCAGGAATGATGGCAAACCATGCAAAAACGAAGAAGCCAAGCCACCAGGCCCCAATCCAACGAGGATCCTCCCTCGATACAGTAACTCCTGCAGGCTAATGCATGTTTGATTAGATTAGTTATTGGCATATCACTTTCTCTAAGTACTTGATCAAATGTAAGAAAACGCAATGAAAAAGGTCAGAACACCATTTTTAGACACCAAACGGCTTGGGTGGGCAAATTCGAGCAAGAACAATACCTGATGGGGGCAGCTTTTTAACAAAAAAAACAGATATATAACAAACAGATAAATTTGGACTAAATCAAGCTTGCTTTGGTTACAAAGTAACTATGAGATGAAAATATCTCGAAAGATATAGCTTGAGTTAGGTTTTTTTCGAAAAAAGGTGAGTCAAGGCACTCTAACGAAAATATTTGCTACACTCTTTTTTATGAGAACCAGTAAATTTAAGTTTAGGCTGGATTTTTTCTCGAAAATCTGAGGCTGGATTGTTCTTAATTTGATCTTAAATTAATAGGGTGTAAGCAGTGCAATTGCTAGCTAAATACAAATACAAATATAGGGACGTGTTCAGGCCTCATTTGTAAACAAAGTGAGACCGCCTTCATTTGCCGACAAGTTTGAACATTCACCGAAATGCACCCAAACATGGCAAAAATTCTCGTTTTTGAGATAAAACTTTGAAAAATATTGCATTTTACAGTCGCTCTGCCTCATCTTGGTCTAAATTTGTTCTTACCTTTGACCAATTTTGAGGCTCGTGTTCCTATCAAGCATTCACCCCTTGTCAAAGCATAAGCGCACGTCAGTGCAATTCCGTAAACCATAGTGACAACTGGAGGAGCGACTTCACAATTCTCCAGCAAAAAACATGTATATGTTTCCAATGTCCTCGGACTGCTTGCACTTGCATTTGCTCCACATTCCACCTCTTTCGATTCTGTGACACCTCAGGGGCCACACTTGAATATTTCAAGACATGGAATATTTTGAAATTTCACAGATTCATTGTTGCTTACTTTTCAGAAATGAGCTTTGCAAAATATCATTTGGGGAAACTGTAGCCAGAGAAAGCAAGTTGTTGTCAAAAGTTTCGTGTTGGGGGGGGCACAGCCTTATGCCCCCTGTAGCTACTTGGCTGTTAGACATTTCCACCACAATACCAAGATCAAATGCCCATTTTTTTCAACTTCCTGGTAAGACTCTAATATTCGTAAAGAGATCTCTTTACGTTGGTTATTGGGCACCCTTCTCCTTCCACTGAAAATGCTCAAGATAGAACTTTGGAGTTTATAATATCTGTTGAACAGATTTCACGATACAGACAGTCCTTTGGGTTTATGGGAAGAATCAAACATTATAGAGAACCGAAGTGTGACGTCATCAAAAATCAATTTTTAGAATTTCTTAAATTTGGCCACACAATCTGAAAGAACATCGTAAAATACCTCTTAATATGCAAAATTAGTTAGATATGTTCCAAGTTGGGCGAGATATGACCGATGAAAGATTTCAAGTTTTCTAATGGATTACTGTCATTCTGGCCTGGTTTATAAAGTTATGAACCAAGACCAAACTAGAGAGGTTTGATGGGGCAAGAGCCTGTGCTCATCTTGTCATATCTCAGCCAATTCGTAATGCCTTTAACTGATTTTGCTTATTTACAGGTATTCCATGATGCTCTTTCAGGTTCTGGGGTAAAAATTCAGAAATTCTAAAAATAGATTTTTATGACGTCATCACTTCCGTACTCTATAAGCAACCAACAGGTGTGGCCTAAATCATCTGCCAGTCAACTATTGACCAATCAATATGCGTCTGAGTGGTATCCCGCCTATCGATTGGCCAACTTCTGATTGACGGATGGCTTAAGCCACTTTACCAGACCAGAGTATGTTTTTCAGGCAAATGCTGTTTTTCAAGATTTCTGTTTAATGGAATCTAAACAATAAAATTGGTGCAAATATAGAAACAATTCTAAAAACTGACAAACATGACTAGCTACAAATACTGAAGAACATGTTTTGCCGGAACATTTTTGAATTTTTCAAAAATGATTATATATTTTCTAACTTTTCCTTTTCAATCCCTATTTTTACGTTTTAATGCTATGAGAAATGTTGAACGAGAAGCCAAGTATATTTAAAAGTGTTTACAATTTTAAGCCTCATTTCAAATCTTATATAGTCTAAAAATTGTTCAAGCCGTTCAATGTTCATTGGCGAATTAGAAAAATGAGCTTACCAATGCAATATTCGTGAAAGTCCTTGAAAAAGTACCACCCACAGCATACCCGAAACCACGGCCAAGAAACATAGAAACAAACCATACACCAAGGTAAATAGGAGACATTTTAGGGTTCAAATTTTCATCCAAATATGCAGGACTGAGAGGCCAAAGAGGTGTGATCCCTAAACCAATAACGATCTGTGCAAGACAAAAAATGGCTAGATATTTGTCCGCTGATCCGTAACCTTGTGGCCCACTGCAGCTTCCCGCTAAGTCATTGAGACCAATGTTACACAAATTTGATCGTTGTGTAAGGCCGGGAACAGAGTAATTGCCAATCATCAGTTTCGGAAGGGCCATTAACAGTACACCAATGCCTTTGGACAAAATTATATTTTTTATCTATAATCAAACGTAAGTTCTATGCTTTACTGTTCTCTAATTGGAATTAAGGCTCATCAAAGTAATAATTAATGGCAAAAGGTTTAACTGCATGGTAAACTCGTTTTTCAACATTTACTCTCCCAAATTGTCATGTTATACTAATCTTCATATTGATAAAATTGAAATTAAGATAACTTGCCATATTTGTGGAGCACTTAAAGAGAATAGATCAGTTAACTTGCCTCTTGATGCAAACAATCTAAGTTGCAGTACTTGCCTAGATTTTTAAACGTATTTGAGATGTAGTTGTCACTATTATTCACCTGTCACTAATGCACCAATGCCAATCCATTTTGGTTTTTTGCCATGAGCTCCATAGAAGCTTATGAATGGCAGCATTACCATTCCTCCAATGTCATTAGTGAGAAGGATCAAGGCTGACTGCTTGCTGCTAAAACCGAATTCTTTTTCAATGTCTGGAATATTCACCGCTGTCAGACCACTTACTACCCCTAAATTGTTAAAAAATTGAAAAAATAGAATTATTCATCAAACAAATTTTGTATCATACAAGCGGAGCTGTTAAGTTTTGCGTCGTAAAATTATGTGTTTATAAATTATAATTTATTGACACATGCCATTGTCTCAAACCGACATGATCTTCTGGACCAAAATGACTGCACGCAAAGACCGAGATACAATTTTTTGTTTATGGGACCAAATAACAAAAGAAAAGTATTTTACTTATGCTACCTAAGTTTTTTTAGGGCCAAGGCCCCCCCGCCGGCCCCCTAGTATCTCGGTCTTTGATTGTAGGTTCATGAATGACTCTGATTGGACCGGTATGATCCCGATAATAAAGCCACCCTCTTTGAAAATTTTTGTTTAAATGACAGTTGAAGACTAGCTCCGCATGTCGGTTGAAAATACTAATTAACAGTGCTTTGTTTTTTTAATTTTGGCTTTCCGTTTCACATTTAATAATTAGTACACTGGATTGCCCCCTAGCCTATCGTTTTGTAACGGGATTGAATTGGAAATTACGTGAGCATGCACATTAATTACCCCGTATGTTCAGTGTACAGGGCATGTCCCCCCCCCCCCCCTACTTCTTTGGAAAAATAATTATAGCTTCTAAATCAAACGTTTTTGTTAATGGATTTAAATTTTCCTTTCCACCCCCCCCCCCTCCCCCCTCCAACTTTCCAGCATTCGTCGGAGCCCATGATACCTTGAAAGGTACACATAAAAGTCTGACGATGAAGTTTGTAGGTGAGTTGAAAGGTAAAGCGCTCGATTCTAAGGGGCTGGAAAGTTGTAGATGTTGATTGTAGGGGAGTTAAGAACTATACAGGTCGATTTTTGGGGAGATAAGAGATGAAGATGTCAATTATAGGGCAGTTGAGAGATGTAGAGATCGATTGTAAGGAAGTTTTGGAGTGCAGTGATTAATTCTCGGGGAGTGGAGATGTGGAGATTTTGATTGTAGGGGAGAATAGAGGCGTAGCGGTCGATTGCAAATGATGATGACCAGGGCCGCCGAGAGGCGGCCTGGGCCCTGGGGCAAAGTCCCGGTTGGGGCCATAGAGTCGGATACAAAAAATTTTCGAGACCACGCCCTTTTTAAAATGGGAAACGCCCATTATTTCCAAACGTTTGCGCACGTTATAGAATATGGTTAAAATATCATAAAATGTAATGAAAAGCATTAATTCTAAAGGTAAGCGATTTAAATACGCTCTTTGACCACACCCTTTTAGCTGATTAAAGAGGACTTCAAATGTGTTCCTTCAATTCTGACTGTTTTTTTCTGGTGAGCCACGCAATATTAAAATTCAAAATGAAAGGAAACTTTTATTCTACGCACTTTTATTTAAAAAATCCCATGGAACTACGCTTTTCAGTTCTTTCTTCTTTCAAAAGTTAATGTTTCTTGCTTTTTCAGTTGCAAACTGATCAATGATATTGTCGTAATCAATTTGTCTTGCTAGTTCGTGCTCGATCGAAAGAGTCATGAGGCTTGATAGTCGGTCTTGAGTCATTGTTGAACGTAAGCGGTTCTTTATTAATGCTAGTTTGCTGAAAGGGGCCCCAAAAATATAATATAGCTTTATGCAACGAGTCCAAATGAAAACATAACTCACTTGAACGGGCCATAGATTAAAACAAGATTATATGGGTTACCTAATTTTTATCAGGGCTCGCTTCCATCAATAAGTACGATTTTGCGAAACTCAGGGAAACTCAGCTTAAAAGATGAATCCGTAAAATATGTGATCTAAGGTTTATTCAGCTTTTCTCGGGGCCCCAGACTCAATAAATGAATCTGATAGGCCTCAAATTCAAACAAGACTCAGTGTACGGGCCCAATGAAATTACTGCCATCATTTTCGATATTAACAAATATATCTTTGAATGCATTTTCAGTTTCTCAAAAAAAAGGCATTTTAAAAAATTTTCAGAATAATTTGAGGGCCCCTTACAGGCCGAGGCCCTGGGACAAATTGCCCCCCCCCCTGCCCCCCCTCTTTGCGCCACTGATGATGACAAGTGAAAAAGTTAAGTGTTGAAGTTCAAAAGACGGAGCCCCTATTAGAATGAAGTTTCTAACTTTTGCGATCAAGAAACAGAAAATGCCAGCGCTGCCACACTTTGAGACCCCGTTTACACTGTGCCGGATAAATTTTATCCGCATCAAATTTAATTCAGATAGGCGTCGCGTTTACACTAGACCCGCGCTATCCGCACGAATTTTAGAGCGGCTATCCGAACAAAATTAGTTCACCTAGGAAAGTGGATTAAATTAGTTCGGATAGTTATGTGGTACAGTGTAAACGCTTTTTCTAACTCTGTTACAAAGAGATAAAACAAGCGTGAGAGAGGTTGCCAAATTTTGTGCAATACGTGCCAAGCTGGGTAGTTCAGGTTATTAAAAACGTTGTCTATAGAAAGGGAGTAAATGAGGAAATATGAAACGACAAAAGACTGCATATATGCGCCACGGCGTTAATTGTAAATGTTCTTTAACTTTATATAAATAATTAACATCTTCTAAAGCACATAAAAACATGAGGCATATTGGAGAACACGCCTATGGCACTTTGGGACGTAACAAAACGGCATGTTGTTGAGTCAAAACTTTACCATGTTGGCATTTAATTTAGCAGATTCTGTGATCCAGCTGAATTCTGCTTACACAGGGAACGCGAAAGTCTGGGGCTTTAGCCCAATGATTTTCAAAATTTACTTAAAATCAAACCGAAATCGCCCTGTTCTTGGTTTTTAGCATGTTTCGCTCCCCAAAACGTTTAGGAGGACTTTATACGGCCGCATTTAGGTCGCGTCGAATGTAGTTGGGGGAAAGTGGGTTTAAACTGTTAAAGGAGATATAGATGATCCTATCTACAAAACATGCTACGTGGCTAAAGGATATAGCCAAAAGGAAGGAATTGACTACTCGGAAACTTTCTCTCCTACCGCTAGAATGGAGTCAATTAGAGCCCTTATGCAACTAGCTATTCAAAACAAATGGAAGTTGCATCAAATGGATGTCAAAGAGGCCTACTTCCACGCGCCAATCAAGTCTGATGTATTCGCACAGCAACCATTAGGATAAATACAACATGGTGGAGACTTTGTTTGGAAGCTGAAGAAGTCCCTTTACGGACTCAAACAAAATGGACGTAACTGGAAAAAATTACTCCACCAGTGCCTAACGGAAATGAGCTTTCAGCAGTAGAATGCTGATCCATGTGTTTTCTCCAAAACAATGGACAATGAAATAACTATACTACTTGTATGGATGGATGACATAATTATCTTTTCAAGCTCAAATGAACTGTTGAAATTGCTGAAATCAAAGCTGAGCAATCGTGTTAACATGAAGGACCTCGGTGAATTATCATCATTGCTTGGTATTGACTTTGTCATTACTGATGACTGCATAACAATGTCTAAATCAAGATACCTTTCCAATATCCTCCAAAAATTCGGATTCGATCAGTTTAAACCGAGAAGCACACCATGTGAAAGCAACCCGAACGCTTACATCATTAACGATGAACCGGAAAGTAACGAATCTGATATCACCACCTATCGAAGGATTGTCGGCAGTCTTATATGCGCAATGAGCTGCATCAAAACCAGACCTAAGTTACTGTGTTACCAGACTTTCACAGCATCTATCAAAACCGGATAATAGTGATTGGCCTATGCTAAAACATGTCTTTCGTTACATCAAGCACAGCATTGATTACAAACTTACCTTTCACAAAAGCTCAAACGATTTGAGAATTTCTGCTTATAGTGATGCAGACAGGGCTTCTTCTAAAGATGATCGACGCAGTATTACTGGGTATTACATCAGTTTAAATTAAGAAGGCCCACCTATTTGCTGAAAGTCCAAGAAACAAGCATCTGTAGCCTTATCTACGTGTGAGGCAGAGTATATGGCACTATCAATTATTTGCCAAGAAACTTTTTTTATCAAACAGTTATTGACGGACATTATGCCTAAAAACTATGAGCCAACAATCATCCGGAGCGACAACCAAGGAGCAATCGCGCTTATCAAAAATCCTGTGAATAGATCTTAGGCCAAACACATTGATATCCGTTAATATTTCGTAAGAGACTGTTACAAGGACAATCGCATTGTTATTGACTATGTACCCTCGGAGTTGAACGTAGCGGACCTACTTACAAAACCACCTAAGAAACATTCTTTGAAACTATTTAAACAGATTTTATTTGGATAAATATGTGTCAATTTGGGGTGTTGAGATGTGACTTATATATACCTATGTATGAACATGAACATTTACCATTATGAAACATTGTCTTTTCAGTGGTGCCTAGTTCTCTGACCGCGCACCACGTTCGAGTTAGTTCGATTAGCAAGATGGCAGATATTGTTATGTTAACTTTTGTTTATGTAGAATGCGTTATGTTACCAATAATCCAATGAGTTTTCTCTAAGTTTTACCTCCGTCAAGAGTACAGATTTAACACCTTAAAGGTTCCGTCGTCCTGCCTCAGAGCAGGACGAGCTCTGGAAAACGGAAATAATTAGTAGCAATTATGACATTTATGTCAGAAATCAGTGCGTCTGGGGCCATAGAATATAATTCATAATTTACCTGCTGTCATAGCATAAACAACAAGAACTATTAGAAAGACACTTGGTCTGGACAAAGGCTGCAGGAACTTCGGCCGCCATTTTCCCCAACCGCAAAGCAAGGATCTATCCAGAATTTCCTCCGTAGTTTTCTCGTCAGCTTCTTCATGCTCGGATTCTTGATGTTTGTTGGTATCATTCGCTTCCAGCGGAAATGTGTCTGAAACGTCTTTCTCTTCATCCATTTTTCTATTTTCAAGAATCAAACAAGCAATGGAAATTTAACCTGATCCATATAATGACTGTGCCGGGGAAGAATTGTTTTATTCTAAATCTCATTGTTACAGTTGTAATGTTTATGCTCTGCAGAATCTATTGAAGATTTCGGTTTTAGGCTAACTATTTGCGGTATACGATGTGGAACACTGCGCTGATAAACTTATTCTTAAAAATGGGGCCCGTTGCATCAAGACAGAAAATGCTATTTTTAAAATCAGTAGGACTTTCGTTAAGTATGAGTAGTGAACTAACATAAGTGAAATGAGCTTACTTGTTAATAAAAGTAAGGAGATGTTACGGCCTTATGAGTTTTTTACATTACCATTGAGTACAACGTCACTTTTTACGTTACGTCACCTTCCCCTTCTGTCACTTCTTACGTTCAGGTGTCATCTTCCGTCGCGTCATTTCAACGATTTACCTCAAGCTGAACTAGATGCCATGGTTAGGGTTAAGCCAACTATGGCTTGAAAATAGAGGTTTTGACATTCCAGGCCAACCAGACAAACTGAATCTTACGTAGCCTTGTCAAGTTCGTCACGAATCCTTTTACTGTGACATCAACTTTCCAGCCTGCGTGCTGTCATAAACAGCCTTATTCAACTCCATCATTCAGAGCAGCTTTTGGTTTAGACTCTTTAGAGGTATCGTTGCGAAAGGCAACAGCGTAATGCAGTCAATTTCTTAAGGTGTTCAACCAGTAGCACTAGTAGCCAAATAACCCCTCATTGCAATCTTGAAATTTCTTTCTGCATGTAATATTTATGGAGATCTCGTTGCTTCAGAAAAACTATAGGCAAGTTTGGCAGAAGACAGGGCTCTACCCTAGTCTTGGCCCTTAGCAAAGTGTCGTAACAGTCTGATCAAATCAGCAAAGTGTGTTGTAGCAAGGCAATCAACAATCAATACGACATTTAGTATTTTATTATTTTATGATTAAAAATATGTGGTATACACTTACTCGTTGCAAACACTGACTTAATAATTATTTCTTAGCTATGAGTTATCGGTCCCTCTAGAAACTATAATTACAAAGTATATGTGCAAACGTTCCAAGTCAATTAAACAACCGAAAAACTCAAAGGAAATTACCAACAATAAATGTGTCAACGATTAAACATATGGAGAGCTATTTCGAAACACAAGAAAGTGTAAGAATAATGAAAACTCCCTGCCTTCCGCGACACACAGCATTTGGCATAAATTGTGCACACTGTGGTTCCTGCATGAAAATGGGACAATGAGGTTATTTGACACGCTGATAACAATGCCGAGCAGGCACGAGCTGAAAAATGCCCTCATGTGCTATTTTGGTACTTCTAATCAGGCCTAGCATGAGGCACATTTCTATATATAATTTCTAATTTATGAAGAAATGCAAGTCTAGGTTTATGCGTATTCTCATATGGTCTCAAATATTAAAGATGGATAAAACTAAAAGTACCCCTTGATGCTATTTTTAGAATGTGGTAATGGAGCCTATATCTCTACTTAGGCTTTCATTCATATTCTAATTCGCAAAATGTGTTGGTTCTAGCACAATTTAATACGGTGGAACATGTAACAAAGACACAAGATACAAAATAATCTTTGATACTTTATTCAGCATGGGATACTGGAGCCCGGGCCTCTAAATAGGCTTTACATCCAAATGTCTTACTGTAATGCGCATTTGGGTATTTTTAACACAATGTGATACAATTAAACATTTGACAAAGACACAGTTAACATTGTACCCTTAGATCCTATTTTTAGAATGAGTGACTCTGATCCAGACCTCAATAAGCCATAACTTAATTGGACTTAAACATACTTTCCGTACCTTGTGACTAATGAAATAATTCTATCAATAATACAATGCTACTTCTAGATGCTACAAATAAGGGACCCAAGGGTGTGTAAAGACCGTCTTAAATGTATATATTTTGATTTATTTATACTGATTTCATGTACTTATGGGGACACAAACATATATATATGTTGAGTTTTGTGCCTTTGACGTCTTGCTAGCACATAATTTGAACCACAAGAGAGTTAATTTGGGGCTAGTGATCAGTATTTTGCAGTTAACCCCTCGAAATAGCCTCCAGAAATAATGTTAGCCAAGGTCTATCAGTGCATTACAGCGTTGTTTGTAAAGGAGTGGAATATCTCTATTCATATGTATACGAATTTGTCGATGTAGTATCGATTAAAAGAAACAAAGTAAACTTTTTGTATATTATGCGATATGTACAGCTAAGGTGTGGCATTCATGATGTCACAAGAATGTGATGATCAAAATTCTTCTTGAGCTAAAACATCAATGATTTTATAGGGCTTACTAAGTTTGTTCTTTGTAACAATAATTTATAAGAACAAACAATATGGATGTTGTAATTACCATATGACGTTCGCGTTCCCTGCGCACACCCAAACTTTGCAGTCTGGACCACATTGATGATGGATGGAACACTGTCTGAAAGTAATCTACGATAGTTCAGTTCGGTTCGGTTCGGTTCGGTTCGGTTCGGTTCGGTTCAGTTCAGTTCAGTTCAGTTCAGTTCTATATTTTTAAAAATCCCTCTACACACAGTATCTTTCCATTCTACATTACAAATAATGACAATGATCTTTTTATATCTACTGGGATATTCTTCCAAGATTTATCACCAAGGAAACGTACAGATCTGATACCATATTGTAGAGTATTTTTCCGTATTAACAAAATGTCATTTTTTGTGGATTGCCGTGTACCATATTGTAACACATGGATACTGTAACCCATGTGCTCAGTAGCGCTGATGGGGAGTTCAGTTGGGACAATGCCCCTGGGGACAGTGGCGTGAAAAGCCCCTGCTCAAAATTAATGTATTTTTCTTTTTCCATAAAAATGCATCATTCCAAGTAGACTTTCTCCCGTAAGGGCCACTCAAGGCCTGAAGTCACATATTAAAGTATATTATATTTATTCTGTGTTGTTTATGTTTAAAACATCTTTTCGGTGATCTTGAGCTCAGGCTAGCAAAGTGGTCCTTCTAAATGGCAAGGAATGATGGCTTACTAAATAACATGGTTGTGCTTAGTAGTGATGTTGCTAAAAATATTGTCTTCAGTGATGTTCGACGCTTCTCCATTTAAAGATCGTAAAATGGTACCTTAAAGGAAAATAATGGTTTCATTTTCTAAACAAAACGCCCTTTTAAGTGGGTCGATTTTGATGAAAAAGGAGATTATATTATACGCAGAAAGAAAAAATTTACTTGTTTTTGATGGAAAAAAATTTTCAAATATTTTTCTTTTAAATAGGGGTCATCCATATAGTATGTACGCAGTTTGAAAACCACTTTTTGACCCTCACTCCCCCCTTGTATGGACATTTACGCTTTTCGCATATCCCCCCTCCCGTTTCAAGGTATAATACAAATAATTGAAAGTTTCCAGGGGAATTCAGGGAATTGTCCATACTGACCATTCCTTGTTATAATATATGTTAATGCAGTTGTCTAATTTATGTAATCATGTGAAGCACATCGAAGCAGATTCTTTAATATTGAACATATTGTATTTAGCTTTCTAAAAGGCAAAGCCTTTCACATAGTTTTTATCGGAAGTTCGTCAAACAGAGCAAATTTTAGGTAGGATGAAAATATGCAACCAACTTCCTATTAAAATCTCTGCAATATAAACAATGAATGAGAAAGCTTGCAAGGCTCAAATTTCACGTTGAGGAATTTCTTAAGCGTACGCACTAAATACCCATTACACCCCTCCCCCCTTGTATGCAAGCGTATGATTTTTGATCGACTCCACCCTCCTCCTGAGTGCGTACGTACTTTATGGATGACCCCCTATTTTTTCGTGTGCCCCAATTGACGTTTCATCGATGGCTGATTTTTGCTAAGAAAAGTGGATTTTCTAACGTTTTATCCCTCATCCTTTTTTAATTCCAGCACCACCTGGTTTCTCTGTTAATGAACCCATTACCTTTGCGTGGTGGTTGCTGAAAAAGGTTGCTCCTCTTTACAAGTATGACATCGGTGGGACACTAGTTTACAAAGAAAACGTAAGTAGTACTACTCAAGTATCTTTAAAGGTAAAGAAAGAGATTCCCCTTATCCATGCATCATTACGACCTCGTCACGTCGGTTCTTTCTGATTAGGGAAAAGAATGTAATTTATTTCTAGTATGAATCGCATTATTTCTAAAATAATAGTAAAGCTATAATCTTAGAAAATAGTTCAATTTTTTGAAAGTAAAATTCATTTGAAAAAAACTTGTCTTTACTTCTAGATGGTCAAAATAACAACATTTTGATTTACTTCAAAAGGAAAACAATTTAAGTTGTCAATTAATGGTAGCTTTTTAGAGGAGTCGATTTTTGATAGAGCAAGTAAGGCTATAAGCTTCGAAAATTCTCGAACATTTTTCCATCAAAAACAAGTCAACTTTTTTTTCTGATCAGAATAAACAGCAGTCGAATTTAGCTTTGGAAATAAAGTTGTTTTATTTAAAAAATAACGACGGCTTTTTGGAGGGGCTGACTTTTTATAAAAAAATATAAACTATAGACTTTGAAAAGTCCTCGAAAAGTTTCCAAAATTTTTCCATTATTAAAAAGTCGCGAGTCTTCTTCTGAACAGCATAAGCAGCAATTGAATTTCGATTTGGAATTAAAGTTCTTTTTTCAAGATAATCATTTTTAGGGGAGACTTTTGATAAAAAACTAAGGCTATAGGCTTAACAAATTCGTCGAGAAATTCTTGAACATTTTTTCATCAAAAACAAGTCAAGTTTCTTCTTTGTGATTGAAGTTAAACAGCAATTAACATTAGTTTTGGAATTAATGTTGTTTTTAAAAAAGCGAATTTTTAGAGGGATTGATTTTCCATAAAAGATAAGACTATAGAACTTAGATAAGACTAAGGCTTGGAAAAAATCTTCGAAAGTTCTCAAACATTTTTCCACTGAAAACAAGTCAAGTTTCTTCTTTCTAATTACAATGAACAGCAAATGAATTTAGTTTGGGAATAACAATTGTTTTTTCGAAAAAAATAACGACTTTTTAAAGGGGTCGATTTTTGATGAAAACGTAAGGTTATAGGCTTAGATAAAATCGTCGAAAAATTCTCAAATATTTTTTCACAAAAAAGAATTCAGGGTTTTTCTTTCTAATTAGAAAAAACAAAAAATGAATTTAGTTTGGCAATTACAGTTGTTTTTTTGAAAAAAAACGACTTTTTAAAGGGGTCGATTTTTGATGAAAAAGTAAGGCTATAGGCTTAGAAAAATCGTCCAAAATTCTCAAAAAATTTTCCGCTGAAAACAAGTCAAGTTTCTTCTTTCTAGTTAGAATAAACAGTAAATGAATTTAGTTTGGGAATTACAGTTGTTTT